ATCACCTATATTAACAATCCTATCAAAACCATCCTCCCCAAGAGTGGGCCACCCAAACACTCCAAGCTCTGATCAGCTATCCTCACCAAACTCTGATCAGCTATCCTCTCCAAACAATGATCAACCAAGATCACAAAACATTAATAACTTTTATGAATTTGAAAAAATATACAACTCTCAAAACACTCTCACACAACAATCAACTGAACATACCCAAAACTCACCACATAATACACAAACCTAAAAATGGGAATTAAAATTCTACAGTGGAACATCCGCAGTTTAAATTCCAACAAACACAATCTTATTAATCTTGTGAGGGACAATGAACCTGACATAATAATTCTTAATGAAACTTGGTTAAAACCCAATTTTAAATTCTCATTTACAGGATTTCATACCATCAGATCAGATCGATCAGATGGGTATGGTGGAGTCGCAATACTCATTAAAAGTAACATTAAACATACTCAAATTAACAAATTCAAATTTAACAATGACAGAATTCAACAAATAACTATAAAAATCGATAATTTAAATATTATAGGTATATATTGTCCCCCACAAGACAAAATATCAAAAAATGCTTTCTATAACCTCGTCAGTGAGTTAAATGGACAGTTGCTTATTGTGGGAGACTTAAACGCACACCATAACTCTTGGGGCAGTGCTCATGTTAACCATAACGGCAAAATTATATCGGAATGGTTTATAGAAAACTCACAAACACTTTCCAAATTCCAAACTGGATTTCGAAAGGGTATGGGTATAACAGAAAACCTTGTATACCTAACATCCAACATACACCTTGCTTTTAGCAGAAATGAAACCATACTAGCCATTTTTATTGACATAAAAGCAGCATATGATAACGTAAACACCTCAATCATCTACAATTACTTATCAAAACTCAACATACCTCATAATTACTAAAATTTAATCTATAATATTTTATCTCACAGGAACTTGTTTATTAGGGATTGCGACAACCATATTCATGGCCCTGCAGTGGTCGGGAATGGTCTGGCACAGGGATCCCCATTGAGCCCATTGCTATTTAATATCTATATCCAATCAATATTTAAGGTAATTCCCAAAAATACATGCCTGCTGTCATATGCTGATGATTTGGTTCTCTTTACCAGGGGTAACAATATAACAAAAATGACAGAAACCATTAACAAAACTCTAAATAAGATAAATCTATGGTTTTCTAAACATAAGCTCTCAATATCATCAGACAAAACTGAATTCATATGGTTCAGGAAAAGAAAAAGTAAACCATCACCACCAACAATAAAAATAGGAAATAAGGAAATAAAACAGCAGGCAAATATCAAGTATTTGGGAGTTACCTTCAACGAATTCCTTAATTGGAACAACCAGGTTACGGGAATGATTGCTAAAGCCAACCAAGGCATTAATGTGATGAGAGCAATAGCAAGGGTTTACTGGGGAGCAGACCCCAAAATATTGTTAATGGTATACAATGGTCTAGTAAGATCACAACTAGATTTCGGATCAATTTTATTAAGTCCCATACAAAAAAATTTAAAAAATAGACTTCATTCCACCCAGAATAAAGCATTAAGGGTTATTACAGGCACTATGAAAACCACTCCAAACAACGCCCTACTTGCAGAATGTGCAGAACCCCCATTATCTGAAAGAAGAAAATGGTTAACAACCAAATTCTTATCAAAAATAGTTCAATTTAAATCTCACCCCTTAATTCCCATTATGGCAATGCTAAAACAAGACTGCTTAAAACCAAACACATATTGGAAATCAAAAGAATACCCCTACATCATCCAAGTAACACCCCTACTTAATAAATACTTAAATAAAATTAGAAGAAGTGATCTCATGCCTTGCTTTGAAATCGAATATTGTTACCAGTTTGCCCAAATTAAAAATAAAAATCTAAACTTAAGAAAAAATTATATAAACAATAAAATAAATTTTTTAGCAGAACTCGAAAAATTTAAAACAAATAAATACAACATCATTTATACAGACGCATCAAAAATTAAACATAAAACGGGTATAGGAATCTATATGCCTGAGAACGATATTCGATTTTCGGCAAGACTCCCAGACCATCTCCAGATATGCACAGCAGAAATGGCCGCAATTTGTAAGGGTGTAGAAATTGCAATCTCTAAAAATATCAAACGTAACCTAATTTTAACAGACTCTGCTAGTGCCCTTGAAAAACTAATAAACAATAAATACTCATCAAAAGACCAATATATATCGATTGCCACTAAAAGGTTTATTACAATAGCCACAGAAAACGATTTTGACTTTATATTAGCATGGGTACCAGGACACGACGATATCCACGGAAATGTGGTTGCAGACCAACTAGCAAATATTGGGGTAAACCTTAATGTCCCTTTAAACTTTCAACCAGAGATGACAGAAATACTACCTGAATTAAAAAAAGAACTTTACCAAGCATACAACAAGGAATGGTTAAAAACATTTCCCAGAACAGGGAGCTGGTATGGAAAAATAGTCGACGAACTTCCGAATAAACCGTGGTTCTATACCAACAAAATACAAAATCGAAGACACCTAACAGCTATCATGCGCTTAAGAACAGGACATTGCCTTACAAACGCACACCTACACAGAATAGGTATACTAGAAAACCCCTACTGCGAATGCGGACAAGTGGGTGACCTAACACACATTTTACTAGAATGCCCAATCAATGGCGACATATACTTCGAAATGGGACAAAATGGATTAGAATTACCGACAAACCTACAACTTATTCTGAGAAACCTTAATAAAAAAACCATAAAAATACTATTAAAATTTATGGACTACCACAAAATAATATTATAACATTTATTTCTATCTATTTCTTTTTACAGATCCTTCCAATAACACTTCCTGGGTTCCTATACCGAGGTAGCATCTACTGGGTTGTCAAAGTCGCTTGGCCGCTGCCCCCAAGCGTGAAAAGTCTTACCTTTGTTTGTAACGTATGTCCGTACTAACACCCTACTAAACTCATTTTAGCAAAAAATACACCTGGAAATATAACCTAGAAAAAAAACAATTAGACCAAGGGATGAGACAACTCAGATACTCTTAATTGAGTCCCTTGATCTTGGTGGAAACTAGTGATGTAAGAATACGTATCCAAATATCCGTTGAATCCGAATATTTAAAGGATCCGGATATTCCGGAATCAATCTGTAAATTCGAATACGGATTCGGAATCAAAATTTACGGAAACAAATTTCGAATGCGCGAAGCAAATGCGCTATGAAAAGCCGAGTGCGGATGGTTACAACCGGCACATTCGGAATCGCGGGAAAGGCGCTTGGTCTGAGTCCGCTACTTACGATACCATAGGCGTATGTTCCTTTTTAAAAAATAAAGACATGATGTATAAAAATATTGTTTTTATTTATTTAAAATTACCAGACAATCAAGGCATAACTTTAAAATATAAAAAATAAATCAAGGATAACGTTCTTCAACTTAAACAACTCTTTGTTTTGTTAAAATGTAGCAGACACTCCACACCACAGAACAAACCCCATTCCTCTCTGCATTCTTTACGCCGTGCCACCCGCTTGCAGCGTTGCGCATTTTATGATTTAACTTATAGATCATAGATACGTATCCGAACAGTGAATCCGAATATCTCTTGGTTCCGAATACGTATTATCCGAATATCAAAAAGATACGAATATTTACATCACTAGTGGAAACCGAAAAATATAATGTGCTGGCCAAATAGCTTTTAAATTAAGCTAAAGGTCATTCCTCTGAACACAGAATTGTGTTCAGAATTAAGAAGAAGAAGAAGAAGGCTTTTCAGCCTGAAAATTTCAGGTTATGTTCTGTGTGTCATTGACACACAGAACAGTGTCAAACATTCTATGGTGTCAAAGTATATAGTCAACGAAAGAAATAATGTTATGTTTGTATAAATCTCCGTTTGGGAAATAAAAATGGTTTTTTTGAAAAAAGAACCCCCTGTACATTGAAAAGCAGTAACCAGAGACCTTGTCTCTGGCAGTAACTTTTGAAAAAAGTCTAGTTCCTCAAAAAATCGTCCATTCGGTTATGTTTGATTACCGTAAGGCTTGCGATGGATTACTTTTAAAATTGGGCTATAATAAAAAAAAAAAGTGATTTTGAAAGCAACGCTCAACTTTGCACACTTCGCATAGCAAAAGGGCACATCATGATATATGCATATAGGTGTGCAATGGGGTTCAACGTGTGTCTTATTTAGTACATAATCAAAAGTATTAGAGATTAAATTCTGAAAAAATGTACGCGGTTAGCGACTTATGAGCCAAAAAGCAAAAAAACTCCCCTTTCGGGGGATGAAATTAGGGGACGCGGAAAGAAATTTTTGGGGAATATTCTTGATTCATTATCAGCACCCCTGACTCGAGTTTTCGTTCTACAATCTTTGTTTCCTGAACTAAGATATTCTTATTCCATTATAATAATATAGATAAGTTAGATTTTTTTTAATAAATGCGGTTTAGTTAAAACTATTTTATGGAGAAAACCAGATATTTAGACCCAATGCACAAAAATATCATTTATTTGGCGCCATACACTTTAGAATTTCATTAAATGCAGTATTTATATTCCTAAATACTATAAAGATTTATTAACTTTTAACGCTTAAACATAAGCGGTAACACTATAAATATTATTTCTTTCATTGACTATACTTTGACAGATACATAACCTGAAAAGCCTTAAATGCCAAATTGTGGTCACGTGGTGGGACTTTGAGGTGTGGAGCAACTAAAATTTGTATAAAACAATAACTGTATAGACTGAACAAAGACATTTGATATATGTGGGGGCATTAGAACTACTATATGCGACGTTGCCAAATCGTGTTTCAGTACAAAAGAGTTATTTTAGGTTATGTGTCTTGTATACAAACAAAAATACCTTAATAATTAGGACTTATTTAATAGTGTAAAAAGTATTATATTGATTCAAGTATGTCATTATTCCCAGCATATAGTGCAGAAGCCCAAAACAATGAAGAAAACCCAAATTTACAGGAAAACACCACAGAAAAAGATAATACATGGCTAAGCAACTCAAGTTTTCAAGTTAATGTAGACCTTATTAAGAAAGCAAATGATGACAAAAACATTGATGAAGCTCCAAAAATTAAAAAACTCAAAATCGAAAAACCCAAGATTGTAGCTACCAAAGTAAATCAAAAAGTTGACGAAGTTGATGACAAACCTTATTATGTAGACGTAAAGGGTAATAAGGAATTTTTTAATGTAAGAACCATATCTAGGCCTGCTGTTGCCAGATATAAAGTTGCGTTTTACCTTACAAAACATAGAAGCAAAAAACATAGGATTAAAAGATATTATCACAGGAGTTTGCAAGTGAAAGAAGTTGAGGTAAATGATGATGATGCAGAACCAAAAAAAATTAAGTCATCGAGAACAGAATCGGCTCATGGATTGATAGAAGAAGCTAACATGTCACAAACAACGGCTATGTACAACAAATCATTATCGGATAATCCTAAAGATATTGAAGTGTGGCTTAAATACGTTAAATTCCAGGACACTTTGTATCAATTTGAAAAAGTATATAAAAAAGGATCAATGGCTAAGGCATTACGAGTACTTGCAGAACGTAAGTTGTCCATCATCGACAAAGCGTTAACTCACAATCCAAACTGTGAAATATTACTTCGAGAGCGACTGGGTGTTGCTGTGAGTACATACCCCGCAGATGAACTGCAAGTAATGCTGAAAAATACCGTCGAGAAGGATCAGAGCAACATTATTTTTTGGCAGGGGTACATTGAAACAACCCAATGCAACATGTCGTTGTGCAACACGCCAGCCGTGCTGAATTTATACACCAAATGTTTGTCGGTTTTGCACAAACTACGACGCAACTCCAGCTTGGATAGACCCACGTTGGAGGAAAGCATACTGAAGATGTTGTATCAATGCGGGTTGTTTATGAAGCAAGCCGGGTTGTTTGAACAGCTCTGGACGCTCTTGAGAATGTATTTAGAGTTGAATCTATCGCCCGCAGACAAAGGCAAATTCAACATTGCGTCGGGTTTTCAGGAATCGCAGTTGGTAGAACTGGAGGAAGTAGTTTTTACGTCGCAATTACCTCTGCACGAGTTGTGGTTGAGAGTCGAAAAGTTACGGGAGTCGTGTCATTGGTTGCCGTACTCAGGCGATGACTGCGAAGATTTGCAAAGAATAGTCTTCACTGAAGACGTGAACGAGTTGATTCACCCCATCACAATGCCGGAGAACACGTTTAAAATGGTCGCCACCATTTTAACGTTGCTAAAAATACCGCTGCTACCGTGCAGACACACCACTATGCAAGACTTGGGTTTAGATTTTGTACCGTGGGCTTTGGACTCTCTAGAAAGCTTGCTGCCGATATATTTATCACTGAACGGCGTCGATACGTTGAAGAAAAGCGTCTTTATAGACCACAAGCTAGCTGTTGGGCCGCAGTATCTAAAAAACCTCCCTGGACAGGACGAGTATTTAGATTTCATATTAACCACGATTAAAAACTGTTCTGATTGCTTGACAGGAGACGATAAAATAGCCGTTACAGTGTGGTGGTTTCGCTTCCAAAGGATTCTAATAGTTTTAAACAATGTAGGAGGTTTCAACATGTCTTCAAACTTGAAGAAGAAAATCAAAAACAACATCAAAAACCTACTGAAACTAGAGGAAAACCGCAACAACCAAATGTATTATTCCGAGTATGCTTTGATAGAGCATGAGCTGGGTAATACCGAAAAAGCCGTTTCCGTCTTAAAATCCACTTTGGCAGTTAATAGAAATAAAGAAATCAACCTGGAAAATCTCCCTACAAATCAGTGCAAACTCCTTAAACATTTAATAGAAGTCAACGTGAATAGTGAGGAAAACATCAAAGACATATGCAGCTTTGTGTTGGGAAAAGATCTCTCAACTATCAATGAAAATATAATTGAAGAAGCCATAATGACGTCCAATTCAATCACCTCAAAACTATTAGAACAAACTTTCATCAAAAAACACCCTGTCCAACAATTTATGCCCGACTTCCTCACCGATTTTACAATTTGCACGGGTTGGTTAATTTACCTAACCCAAGGCCCAGTCCAATCAGGTTGCTTCATTGAAGACCTCCTTTCGAAGTTAAATTTACTTGAAAACGTTTCGTGGCAAAAAGAAATCTTGTATGAATTTTATGTCGCCATTCTGTTTAAGTATTCCTCGGAAAATCCCGGATCGGGGACTTTCAAGTTACTCGATGATGTGCTGCATAAGGCCATTGCATTGTATCCGAATAATTTGTTTGTGTTGGGTATTCTTGCCAAAGAGCAGTTTTTAATACAGGCTGTGGGGTATCAGTGGTGGAAAGTGGAAAATCTGCTTTTGAAGACCGAGCGGGTTTTTCCTATTTTGTTGGCCCTTTTAATACCTCTGGAGCAATTCATGAATATGCAGCACAGTGCCATAGACACAATCACTGGTAAGACATTTCAGATTTTTTTTTCTCAGAAAAGGTTATGACATGCGTTGAAACTCGAATTGGTATAGAAAGGACGGTAAAAATATTCTAGAGTGCATCTGAACCTATTAATTCAAAAAATATCTTTGGTCAAAGTTAAAAAAAAATTGAATGTTATAACTAACTATAACAGAATATTATAAAGATAAAGTATATCTTGTAGGGTCTAGTGGTTAGGATACGTAGCTCTTAATATGACAAATTTGTAATATGACCAAAAAGTGTTAACAAGGAAGAATTAACAAGGAATCTTTTAAACAATGTTTTAAAACTGTAAAAATTCCACCCCATATTCTCAAACCTAATAACAAAAAATTTATAGGCTATTCTTGATTGACGCGCATTTTTCAAATTTTAACGAAAAAAATTAATAACTCGAAAACTGGACATGGTATAATAATTTTACTCAGCATTTTATTTAGAATTTAAAAATGTAAAAATATATGGGGTGTTCTATTTGAAATAACAAAGTTGATGTTACTTCCGGTTAAACCGAAAGTGGCATTTTGTTCAAAATATTTTAGAAAAATTTAATAGATTATAACGCTTTTAATATTTCAAATCTATATCTTTTTCCGTTCCCCAGAAACTTCTAATGGACCACGAATGTGAAACACTCTGTATATATGTGGTGTTTAAACATTTAACAAACCTTCAACTTTCAAAACAATAATAGACCAGGGTCGATAATTTTTGAAACCAAAAAAAATAACAGTAGGATGAAACCCATTGGAAAAGGAGAAGAATATAATAAAAATGAAAGGAAAAATAAATTACGGGCGATCTGACTTCGGGAAGTGGGAGGGGGGGGGGGGGTTTAAGGGTAAAAAATGGTTTATCTCGATTTCCGGCAAAACTACAAGTCCTATGGAAAAAAGTTAAATGGCAAAGTTGTAGGTAATAAAAGGATCTACAACTTTTGTAATTACAATTTTTTTACATAACCTCAAAATTTATGTGAAAAATTCAAAAAACCAAGTTTTTGGTTTTTTATTTTTATCTTTTTCAAAAAAAATTTTTTTTCCACGAAATTTGGTGAAAACTTACCTTTTTATGTCCCAAATACACTGTAATTTATTTGATTTGAAATATTTATTATTTCGCCTTATTTTGACTTAATATCAAAAAAGCACCCTAATTTTCAATCGAAAATTCTCGCGTCAAAATATCAGCTTTTTTCAAAAAGTCGGTGTGCTTTTTGTTCGTTGAAATCTCTACTTTCTGATGGTGTAAAAAAATATACATTACTGTGGTAAATGTTCTCAGAAAATGCAAAAAATATTATAATGAATAACGAAAAAAACTCGAATTCGAAAATTTATTTTAATCATTATGTACAATTTCATCAAAAAAATGTGATTGTTGCAATTTTTTTTAGTTAAAAAGTTTATTTATTAAATTCTAATAACATTTATGTCAGAAAATCTCATAAAATATAAAAATACATGTAAATCATACTATTGAATTTAGATACTTCATTCTGATTACGTTATTCATTATAATATTTTTTGTATTTTCTGAGAACATTTACCATAGTAATGTATATTTTTTTTTACACCATCAGAAAGTAGAGAGTTCATCGAACAAAAAGCACACCGTCAAAATAAGGCGAAATAATAAATATTTCAAATCAAATAAATTACAGTGTATTTGGGACATAAAAAGGTAAGTTTTCACCAAATTTCGTGAACAAAATTTTTTTTTGAAAAAGATAAAAATAAAAAACCAAAAACTTGGTTTTTTGAATTTTTCACATAAATTTTGAGGTTATGTGAAAAAATTGTAAATAAAAAAGTTGTAGATCTTTTTATTACCTACAACTTTGACATTTAACTTTTTTCCATAGGACTTGTAGTTTTGCCGGAAATCGAGATAAACCATTTTTTACCCTTAAAACCCCCCCCCCTCCCACTTCCCGAACTCAGATCGCCCGTAATTTATTTTTCCTTTAATTTTTATTATATTCCCCTCCTTTTCCAATGGGTTTCATCCTACTGTTATTTTTTCTCTTTTTGCCATTTTTAAAGGCTTCTGCACTGGTCTATAAGGGCCGTATGCAGAAACTTTGATTTATTTATATCAACTGATTTACGCATGTCCACTGATTTAAGTTTGAACCAATTTGGCAACATATCAAATTTAAATTAAATGACAGTAAAGATTTGTAGGTTATCTTACATATACTTAAATATGTGTTTATTGATACAGAGTGATACATTTTTAAAATGTATTATTAAATATTCACATAAATTATTAAATATTCACATAAATACATTTATAACTGACTAAACCTTAATTATTATTGACAAAAACTTGGGTTTGAAGAGGATTGCGGCAATATAAAACACACAGTTGGGTTATGTTCGCAGTTTGCAATGTGTTTTGTTATAAGTACCTAAATTTGCATTAGAAGATATGAAAAACGAAAATTACGGCTAAAAAAGAACAAAGAAATTTTGTTGAAGTTGGTGGGAATTTTATTTAATTGTTTGTGCTTGTAAAAGATTAATTAATTAGGTACTAATATTATAATTATAATAATTATATTATAGTTACAGGAATACTAGACCTTTTTCTAAAAGGCATGTGTTAGTTAATGCTTGATATAATTATGGGTTCAGAATAAACTTTTTTAATCCAAAGGATTTATTGTTTATTTATTTAATATAATTTGCCTTATACACTTTGTTTTTTAAATAATTCATATTGAAAAATATAGGTACACAAATTTTAAAAACTGTTACTTTAATAAAGCAAATTTTAAAATTTAATTGTAGCAGTTCTAGTCCAGTATTTTTTAACCTGTGTATTTTATTTTAAAAATAAAAATATTGTTTCAGAGCATATTTTTAATCATTTGTCAAATAAATATTACAAATGAAAACAATTTGAACCAAAAATATAAAAACCTAGTTTCATACAATGTGCCCGTTTTTGATTTCTAGCAAAAACATTTGCTTTTACCTACAGGATGTATTTTTTATTTTCCTGTAAAATGCCTTTTAAACTTGTATTATTGGCAAAAACTGAAATTCCCATGTTGCCCTCCATTTCATTTTCTTCTATGTTTAATAGTATATTTCTGGGCCCAAAAATAAATAGAGTGAAAATTTCCTCTTAAAAAAAGTCCCCTCTACCTTGATGAGCCCTTTACCCAAAACCTACTGTTTCTATTTCTAAGAGCAAGCACATAATTTAAAAATTTAAAAGCAGAAAATAAGTTGAACATGTTCTAAAATTTAAAATTCTTCAAAAGTATTTAAAAAATAAGACAAATATTTTTTAAACACAATTTTGGTTTTATTTTATAATCTTTATTATTTATTAAATAGAATTTTTTTTTAATTGTCTATGTATTATATTAAAAAGTAAACATTTACGTGTTTTAATTAAAAAAAAAATTAATAAATATTTTCATCCAAGTTCAATGTTAGGGGCAATTATTTTACAATAAAACTAAAGAAAGTTATAAATCAATTGATTTCAAGTAGGTAGGTACCTATTCAGCTTTTCAATCAGAAAAAAAACAGCAAAGATATTTGATATAATTATCATGGTAGTAATTATATCTTTAAAAAAATGTTATTTTTTAATTATATCTTTGTTATACCTAGGTATTTTTACCTTCTGAATTTATTTTTTCATATATATTTACAAACAAAAATACTGTCTATTTTTATTCATATTTTAAATCAGTCGTTAACGACTGATATAAATTATATCATCCGATTTACATTTTAGATGGTTTTATTTGCCAAAAAACAAATCCAGTAAACCATGACTTACATATGTTGGCGAAATTATTTTCTATGATTTTTTAATGTCAAATGTCACAAATGTCAAATAAATCTTAATGAAATTTTAATTGTTTTATGTCTAATTTAAAATGTCAATGTATAGAAATCGACTTTTTTTGGAAAATATAAACGTTGAAAGATAATTACCCAATTTATTTTATAAAACAACAGTTTTTAAAGAAAAATACTGCGTTGCCATGTCGTGCAAGAACCTTTATCCACTGATAAACTAAATGTTGATATAAATTAATCAAGGTTTCTGCATACGGCCCTAAGTGTCAAATTTAAAAATTACAAAGATGTAACTTCTTGATCGCAAAATCAGAAATTTTCAAATTCGAATAAATTCAAAGAATTATGAAGTAATTTAACATAAAGTATTTAATGTAAATAATTATTCTGTACAGACGTCTAAAAACAAAATATTTTTTTTAAATTAGGTACCCAGATCAACACAACAATAAGTTTTAAGAATAAAATGGCATCGCTGTTTAAAAAAGTAACCCAGTCAACAATGTGCTCCAGAAGATGTGGTCTAGTCTGGAGAATTTATTTACAATTCGTTAATACATATTTTGATGCAAAATTATGCAGAAATATATATTATTCTGCTGTGGAAGAATGTCCATGGTTAAAGGTAAAATATTCACTAGTTTTTTTTTATAAATTTATATATTTTTGTTTTTAAGGCATTATACATTGATGCAGCCATTTATATACCTGCAGAATTACCCCAGATACAAGATTTAATTATAGAAAAACAACTACGTTTGCATGTTACACCAGAAGAGCTTGATGTTTTGAGAAGTTAATTTTGTTATTTATGGGAAAAATAAATTTTATAATTGTTGTTTGTTTTTTATCCTTTATTAAATCTAGAGAACAGCTTTAACAAATACTCATTTTAATTTTTATTAAAAAGTATTAGTGCAAAAAACACGCTGGTTTTTACAGATTTTGGGAATTTAAAAAGTAAATTATGAAAATCATAAAAATTTTGTAAATTTCTCCGAAAATCTTGTAAGTTTCAAAATTTTTGAAAATGTTAAATCTACAAATATTGTAAGTTTATAAGATTTTGGAAATTTAAAATATTTTGTGAATTTTGAAAATTTTTAAAATGTTGAAAATTTACCCCAGCATTTTATATACTTTTCCTACTGTGCGAAGTTGCCCCACAATTTTTAATTTTGCTCCACTGTGCGAATTTGTCCTACCATTTTTTTTTAATTTTGAACTAATGTGCGAATATTTCAAACATTTTTTTAATTTTGATCCATTGTGCGAAATTGTCCTCCCATATTTTAATTTATACCAATGCAAATTTGACAAATCTTGTAAATTTCAAACATTTTAAAAATGTTAAAAATTTACAGATTTTGGGAATTTCAAAAATGTAGTGAATTATGAAAATCATAAAAATTTTGTAAATTTCTCCGAAAATCTTGTAAGTTTCAAAATTTTTGAAAATGTTAAATCTACAAATATTGTAAGTTTATAAGATTTTGGAAATTTAAAATATTTTGTGAATTTTGAAAATTTTTAAAATGTTGAAAATTTACCCCAGCATTTTATATACTTTTCCTACTGTGCGAAGTTGCCGCACAATTTTTAATTTTGCTCCACTGTGCGAATTTGTCCTACCATTTTTTTTTAATTTTGAACTAATGTGCGAATATTTCAAACATTTTTTTAATTTTGATCCATTGTGCGAAATTGTCCTCCCATATTTTAATTTATACCAATGCAAATTTGACAAATCTTGTAAATTTCAAACATTTTAAAAATGTACAGATTTTGGGAATTTAAAAAATTTAGTGAATTATGAAAATCATAAAAATTTTGTAAATTTCTCCGGAAATCTTGTAAGTTTCAAAATTTTTGAAAATGTTAAATCTACAAATATTGTAAGTTTATAAGATTTTGGAAATTTAAAATATTTTGTGAATTTTGAAATTTTTTAAAATGTTGAAAATTTACCCCAGCATTTTATATACTTTTCCTACTGTGCGAAGTTGCCCCACAATTTTTAATTTTGCTCCACTGTGCGAATTTGTCCTACCATTTTTTTTTAAATTTTGAACTAATGTGCGAATATTTCAAACATTTTTTTAATTTTGATCCATTGTGCGAAATTGTCCTCCCATATTTTAATTTATACCAATGCAAATTTGACAAATCTTGTAAATTTCAAACATTTTAAAAATGTTAAAAATTTACAGATTTTGGGAATTTAAAAAATTTAGTGAATTAGGAAAATCATAAAAATTTTGTAAATTTCTCCGGAAATCTTGTAAGTTTCAAAACTTTTGAAAATGTTAAATCTACAAATATTGTAAATTTATAAGATTTTGGAAATTTAAAATATTTTGTGAATTTTGAAAATTTTTAAAATGTTGAAAATTTGCCCCACCATTTTATATACTTTTACTACTGTGCGAAGTTGCCCCACAATTTTTAATTTTTCTCCACTGTGCGAATTTGTTCTACCATTTTTTTTAAATTTTGAACTACTGTGCGAATATTTCAAACATTTTTTTAATTTTGATCCATTGTGCGAAATTGTCCTCCCATTTTTTTAATTTATACCAATGCAAATTTGACAAATCTTGTAAATTTCAAACATAATATTTTAAAAATGTTAAAAATTTACAGATTTTGGGAATTTAAAAAATTTTGTGAATTATGAAAATCATAAAAATTTTGTGAATTTGTCCGAAAATCTTGAAAATTTCAAAATTTTTAAAAATGTTACATCTACAAATATTGTAAATTTATAAGATTTTGTAAATTTAAAATCTTGTGAATTTGGAAGATTTTGAAAATTTTTAAAATGTTGAAAATTTACCCCACCATTTTATATACTTTTCCTACTGTGCGAAGTTTCCACACAATTTTTAATTTTGCTCCAATGTGCGAATTTGTCCTACCATTTTTTTTAATTTTTAACTACTGCGAATATTTCAAACATTTTTTAAATTTTGATAAGGCGTTGAGCCACCAAGAAAGAAGAAGAAGAAATTTTGATCCATTGTGCGAATTTGTCCTCCCATTTTTGTATACCTACCAATGCAAATTTGACAAATCTTGGAAATTTCAAACATTTTAAAAATGTTAAAAATTTACAAATTCTGGAAGTTTAAAAAATTTTGTGAATTATAAAATTCGTACAAATTTTAAAAATGTTGAATCTACAAATATTGTAAATTTATAAGATTTTGGAAATTTAAATTATTTTGAGAAATTTAAAAATCTTAAATCCTTTGAAAATTTGTCACGCCATACTTTTACCACTGTGCAAATTATTTTTAATTTTGAACTACTGTGCGAATATTTTCCCCAATTTTTTTTAATTTTGAAAACTTGGAAATTTCAAAAATTTACGAATTTTTGTGAATTATAAAAAATTTTGAAAATTTTTCCAAATATCTTGTAAATTTCTAAAGTTTTAATCTACAAATATTGTAATTTTATAAGATTTTGTAAATTTAAAATATTTTGTGAATTTTGAAAATTTATCCCACCATTTTATATACTTTTACTACTATGCGAATTTTCCCCAGATTTTTTTAAATTTGTACCATTTTTTTTAAATTTGTACTATTTTTTTAAATTTCTACCGGTGCGAAGTTGACAAATCTTGAAAATTTGTCCGAAAATCTTGTAAGTTTCAAAAATACCTATTTGACGAAACAATTTTTTTCCAAACTTTTTATGGAAATAACAAGTTTGTAAAAAAATTGTTTCGTCCTATACATAGAGAAAGTTTCTTTTCTCTATGGTCCCATACAAAGTGGTATTTTTGGTCCCATAGGAATCCTATAGACAACCAAGGAAATCCCATTGGAATAGAAAAAGCGAGGTTGTCATGTGCACAAATATTTACAGGGTTGCCACCGAAATTTTGTATAGTAGTGTTGCAATTTGCAGAAGAAAGTCAAGGTCGCGCAACCAGTGATTGCCAACCACTTGTTTGCCTTTTGAATGCACAAAACAGCGGTTGCAAACAATAACAAACTTTCGTTTTGCATCGGTGAATTGTTTTCTGTGGGTGAATGTCCCTTCGGTTCAAAGGTCAAAAAGTATATCTTAAATTCAATATTACCACATCCACGAACGATTAATATATTTTTGGCTCACAGTTTATTACTTGGCTAAAACATGAAATTAATTAAAAGTTCGTTAATTATAACGAGAAAGTTGCATGCAGGAATATCAACAACCTTGCAGGTGAGGTTATATTTAAAATATACTAAAAAAATAAACATTGAACATTGTAGAAAACTCAGCCAGATATTGTAGCTAAAAATCAAACATTAACAGATACTTTTGGAAGGCACCATGATTACCTAAGAATATCTTTAACAGAAAGGTGTAATTTAAGGTGTAAGCTATAACTCTACCTTTTAAAAACGCAGATATAATATATATAATTACAGGCCAATATTGCATGCCAGCCGAAGGTGTCAAACTATCAGAAAAATCAAAAATTCTTACAACTGATGAAATTATTCAAATAGCAGATTTATTTGTTAACGAAGGGGTAACAAAAATTAGATTAACAGGGGGTGAACCCACTACAAGAAAAGATTTAACGGATATAATAAGTATGATATACTTTTTAATGTTTTTTTAAGCTTTAATTAATTATTTTAGCCCAATTAAAGCAATTAAATGGTTTAGAGTGTGTGGCAATGACAACAAATGGTTTGGTTCTCACCAGGCAATTGGTTGCTTTGCAGAAAGCAGGTTTGGACATTTTAAATATTAGTTTGGACACGATTAATAAATCTCGTTATGAAAAAATTACCAGAAGGAAAGGTTTGGAAAGGGTATTAATGGGTATAGACTTGGCTCTTCAGTTGGATTATAATCCTGTAAAAATAAACTGTGTTGTTATAAAAAGTAAGTTTAATTAATTATAAAAACATTTCTGTCCAATTAATTATAATTGCCTTTACTGGTCATGTGATATTTAGATACCTACCTAAATTTTTTTCTACTCTATTTAGTACACTAGAGATTAAGTACTTATTGCACTAGTGGATTTATTTGGAGAAGAAGAAGGTTAAAACCACTTGACAGATGTCAAAAACTGAAGTTAAAAACCTGTCTGACAGATGTCAGATTGGTAATACTTTTTCTATGATTGGTAAAAAGTGAGGTTAAAATCCCTTGACAGTTATCAGATGTCAGATCAACGTCAAATAAAATTATGTCGTAGATGTACAGTTCATTTTTTTATCTGCACTCGTGTTTTTTTGTTAGGTAGGTGGCTTATGCCAGTTTGACTTTGTATTTTTAGTATTTAAAAATGGTACTTCTGCTAAAGAATTTAATTCAATACTTTAACACTGTCAAATTGACAATAATATTTATTATTGTCAATTATAAATAAAAAGATAATTATGCCAAAAATAATAGCAACGAATTCGAATGTAAAAGCCCTTTTGAGGGCAAAACTTCATTTTAATGAAATTATGCCAAATGCCTCAATGGAAGAAAAATTACATCGCCTTATGGACATTTTTGGAGTAAAAAAGTTACGAATTTGGTTTTATAAATATTACATCACACATAAATTTTTACATTATTCACCATTGGACAACATTTACGTTCACAAAAAATTTTAATTTCCTTTATATAAATTCTTTTCAAAGCGAAGATTATTATCCGCTAGGAATACTTTTCTTCTGGGCCGTAAACCAACCTATATTTAACTACTTTTTTATATGATTTTACTCATCCAAGCACCACCAAAGCCAAATTAATTGCATTTTTAACTACGAATTTCGACAACTGCATAATGTGACCTAAAACATAACCACAATTAGATTTATAACTAGCTTTTAATCAATGCGACCAACTTGACAACTGTATTTACCAACCAAAACCCTAAATTTGCAACGTTGCCGCAGTCCAGATAAACTTCTCAAAATTAATTATTTAGGTTAGGTATCTGTCACTTTCAGTAGAATTAAAGTTAGGTATCTGTCACTGACAGTAGAATTTATAAAAATCTAAAACAGGTTTTTTTATATAAATTATATTGTTTCTGCGTTTTAAAGTTTATTTTTTAAGATTACAAATTGAAAATGTTAATTCTAGATAAATCAATTTTATAGATTTTAATGAGGACGAAATACTTGATTTTGTTGAAATGACTAAAGAAAAAAATGTTGACGTAAGGTTCATAGAATATATGCCTTTTTCTGGCAACAAGTGGGAAGTTGATAAAATGGTATCCTACAAGGAAATGCTGGATATTATCCATAAAAAATGGCCTGAATTTTCTCCCCTTCCAAACGGTAAAAACGACACGTCAAAGGTACCCCATTTCTTAGTTTTTACAATTTAAATTTAAAGGACTTCTTTAGGCGTGGAAAGTTCCAGGATATAAAGGACAAGTTGGTTTTATAACATCAATGAGTGAACATTTCTGTGGTTCATGCAATAGATTAAGAATTACTGCCGATGGAAATCTTAAAGTATGTTTGTTTGGAAATACTGAGGTCTCTCTAAGAGATGCCATTAGAAGCAAATGTTCACAAGACGATTTGGTGGCATTAGTTCAAGCGGCTGTCAAAAGAAAGAAGAAACAACATGCAGGTAAATTTGAATTAACTAACAGGGTGTCTAGTGGTTAGGGATTTTTTCTGTATTTATAAAAAATTTGGTTCATAGATTCGTTTTTATACAATACTTATTTTCCCAGATTAAGTTACCTACAAACAGAAAAAACAAATAAAATTATTTAATTTTAAAGAAAAATGTTTTTTTCAAAAAAATATTGGTTTAAAAAAGTTTTTTTTAAGTATACAAAAATGTTGACAGTAGTTCGGGACTCTTATAATAAGAGAATTTTGTTTTTATTATTTTAACGTTTTGAGACTATTTATATAAATATATAAATTTTCTAAACACATTTTAAAGTTACAATTTGTCAAATATATAATAAAAAAGTGATAATTCCACAATCCACACAACAAGGTCTGTTCTATCTTTTAGGCAACCCACTGTACACACTTTAACGGCGGCCATTTTTATATTGTTTACAATTCTTGTGCTGCCTATTCAGATTAATATGTTTTAAACGTTGTGTTTCTCACAGAGGCACTTGTAAGCCTTAAATGAGGCCTAAGTGCTAAGACAACCATTTTACTCCTCTTTTGTTAAAAAATAAACCTTATTGAATTAGGCAGTGTTGTAACGTATCTAGTTACAAGTAACTAGATAAAGTTTCTAGATACTTTTCATGTAGGTATCTGCTTGTGTAACTAATTACTTATACCAATCTAGTTCTTAATAATAAGTTATATTTACCTGGAGGAAAAAAAAGTCTGGAGTTTTTTTGAAGGACTTGCTAGACACCCTGTAATAATAATTATTATCTAATATATTTTCCACTGCTTTATGAATTAATGCATGGTTTGACTTTAAAATTTACAAAAAAATCCTTAAAATTATACAAATGAAGGCTACATTGAAAAAAATTAATAAATTGTTACAGGAATGTTGAATCTATCTCAAATGGAAAATCGCCCCATGATTCTTATTGGTGGCTAATCTAGTGTAGGGTAGTTAGCATAAGGTAAATTGGAATTGCGTCCATGCATAGAATAGATTAGATGTAAAATCGTGCTTTAGTGGTGTCATAGCTAAAAATCTCGCATCTTTAATTGAAGGGGTCTATACAAGAAGTGCCTTAGTCACAAATAGGTAATTCTGAGATATTGCGGTTTGAAGGTTTATTTTTGATTATGAAATATTACACAAAATATTATGATGAAAATGTGTGTTGTATTGTATTCTTTGTGAAAAGTGGATTGGACTTACATGATTAAAAAAGAAAAAACGTTTTGTTATATCAAAAAAATATATAAAATAATTTGGGACTTGGGCACTTTTTGTGTTGAAATGTTTTAATTTTGTCAAAAATTAAGGGATATTTTGAGGAACAATTTGTTTATACTTAAAAAAGGTGTATTATATTAGAACGCCGTAAAAAAATATATAAATTTTGAACAAAACTTAGGACATTTATGTTATAACTCCTATAGGAAATAACTTAAAGCAAAACTAATAATATAATAAAAAGGCTGGCTATAGCCAGCCTTTATTAATATATTCATAAACAGCGTCGGCCTCTTGTAACTGATCAATTTCTTTATCAATGACATCATTTTGCTGGATTATACTTCCATTTTCAGACAAGGTTCGAGCAAAAAAACGGTAACTGGTATGTTTTAAGGTTCCGCAATATATACAGGGTGTTATGTAATTAATGTTATATATTAAAATGGGTTGTTCCTTAGGGTCCATAAAGAAGCACCTGAAACTTTTTTTTCTAAATTCCAGTCTAAAAATAATTTATAATAACCTTTATCCTACCAAAAAGTACGCCACTGATCGACTAGGAACTTTAGGTTAATCTGGTGGATTTATTATGTTATGGTTGGTAACAGTGTTTCCAAAATCTCTCAAAAAAGTTGACAAACATTGTTTAAATTTAGCTTAATTACAAAAATGACAAAATTAACAATGCAAATTGTCAATTTGGCGTTTTTATTAATTGTTGGTTATTTCATTTTTGTACTGAAGGTAAATTCAAACAAAACCTGCCAACTTTTATGACAGAATCTAGTGCATTTCTTTTAAATTTTAGGTTATGTTTTCAAATTGTAAATATCTTAACTAAGGAAAGTGCTTTTGGATTTATTTACACAAATTAAATGTTTAAAGTTTAACCTGTGAACTGGTCCCAATTTCATCTGAGTAAACAGAGAAAAAAACTGATGAATAAATTAATTTTGTGGTTATGGATTTCAAATTTCAAAGGTACTAAATTTTCTAATCATTGCTTAAGCTAATAGCTGGATCAGTAAATAAATACAGAAGGGTATTAGAGCTTTAAGGGCATAAAACTTTTGTATTTATTGAGTTTTTATTTATTTTTTGCAAGTAAAATTTTTAGTAAAATTTTTTTACATCTGGCAACGCATAGCTACTTTGTTAGTTGGTATCTATGTACTCACAAAATACAGGTGTGCAGAGATAAACAAGTGTGTAACCAGTGGCGTATCACAAAAAATATAAAAAACTTCTAATGCATATATTTTCTTTATCTTTGGAAAAATGCTTTTTAAAATATTTTTCCTTTATTCCTTATGTCAAAAGGTATTCAGTATTTTAATATATAACATTAATTACATAACACCCTGTATATATATATATAAATAAAATATATTTTATTTTACTTTACTTACCTGCCATAGTTATGTTTTTCATCACAGACACAAATTATTAGGATTTACACAGTTTAATAGGTAATTTGCTCAGATATAACCTAATTTAAATAACGTTGACTAAGGCACATGTTGCATTTCATCTGTCTAAATGATGACTTAGGTACTTCTTGCATTGAAAACCAGGTAAACTCCCATTGAAGTAAATGCAAACTAAGGCACTTAGAAACATATTTCTGCCACTCTGCAAATACCACATGAAAGATGAATTGAAACACTTTTAGATAGCGCCACAATGTTAATTTTATTGAAAATGTGACTTCTTGCAATGACCCCTTCAATTTGATTATGGATGATCTTACAAACGTCACGTCAACAATTATTTTGCTTTCTAGGGTTGCCAGCACACAAAAAACACGCCCTGTGGCCACTGCATACTTTAAAAACGAACCCATCTAGTCATCCAAACTTGCTAACGGCAACACCGCTACAGCACCAGTCGGTCAGCTTCTACTGCGCCGGCGCGGAAAAAAGTTTCTCCCACGTCGACGCAGACGGCAAAGTGCGCATGGTCAACGTCTCGGGAAAAATCGCGACGGTTCGCAGAGCCACCGCCAGAGCGAGCGTCAGAGTCGGCCACGAAATCGCCACCTTGATCAAGGAGAACAACGTAAAAAAAGGCGACGTGCTGAGCGTATCGCAGATGGCCGGGATATTGGCCGCGAAAAAGACGGCCGACATCATCCCGCTCTGCCACAACATCCCTCTCACCGGCGTCGAGGTGACGGTGCAACTCGACAACGTGCTGAAGCGAGTGCTGATCGAGGCGACGGTCGAGTGCGAGGGTAAAACGGGAGTGGAAATGGAAGCTTTGACGGCCGCCGCCGTTTCGGCTCTCACGGTTTACGATATGTGCAAGGCCGTCACCAAGAACATCACCATCGGTGATATTCATTTGGTGAGCAAATCGGGCGGGAAATCTGGCAACTATGCTAAACCGGAGATCAGCGTTAGAGAATATGAGAGGGCACCCATTGTACAGCCGTCCGTTTTTGTTGGGGGAGTTTAAATACCTTAGGGTGTTTCATTTAAAACGAAATTTTTTTTTTCTTGCTGACACATAAAAATTTTGGTTTTTAGGTTGAAAAAAAAATTCCCTGAAAATTTGAGCCCTTAATTTTGATTCTAAGTACTTCCTTTTTAATTTTGTAGTTTTTCCATATAAAAAGCATGTATTTTTAATCATTTTTACTTTAAATTTCTATATTTTGGCCGGGTTTTGAATTATAATTTTTATCACCATAATTTTCTGCATAGTATTCACGGTTTTTGAAAGGCCCTGCATCAATTTTGTTTTTGATTTATTTACGTTGATTGTAGTAGCTCCAAAAGTCGTTTTTCCACTCTTTTCACATACTTTTGAGAAAATCGAGCGAATGACTGGTTTTACCGAAAAAGTTCAAATAAAAAAGTTGTAAATGTAATTTTTGACAAAAAGGTTTTCACGTTCATATCACTAAAGTGCTTTGTTTAAGAGATATAAGCAATATACAGGGTGTCCGGGAAAATGTGGGAAATCTCTAGGATTCAGATAGAACATGAAAAAATAAGATGACACGTTCCTATAAATTTTTTTCCTACTGGCCATCCTTACGGAGACATGGGCCCCGAAAGGACTCCCCTGCAAATTGGTTTTCCTTGAATAACTTTTAAAGTACTAAATATAATTTAATAAAAATTTAATATGATGGACCCTGGTAAGGACCTCTTAAAATAGTGTCATTGAAACATGTTTTGCTTTTTTTGTTAACCAAGGGCGGACTAAGTTTTACTTTTTAATGCTTAAATTTTGAACACCCCGTATGACAAAGACTTAAAAAAACTAAATCTGCATAGCTTGAACCTTAATCTAAAATAAAGGTACTCTTGTTTATTGTCAATAAAATGAACCGTTTTCGAGAAAAAGAATAATAAACAAATTCATGTTTTATTTTTTAATAAAAAGGACCATAAAAAAATAATATAACGTATTGTTGCAAACCTTAAATTAAAGGACGATAATTCGAAACAATTAATTAAAAACTTTATAAGAGGGTTCCACATGGGTTCCGTGAACTCTGATACATTCGCGGGCACGACGAATTGAGAACTGCTGTACCCGCCAGAATAACCCAGAATTGTTTCTTATCATATCACAATAAAACGTGATTATCTGTAGAAGTTCCTCTATCGGAGTGGAATACACCAAGTTTTTTTAGGTATCCCCACAGGAAAAAATCCATCAGCCTAAGGTCGGGAAATCGAAGAGGCCAGTCAATAGGTCCTCCTCTACCTATCCAACGGTTTGGATAAACGTTATTCAAGTGCTCCCGCACAGCAACGCTGAAATAAGGTGGTGCCCCATCGTGCAAGAAGTACATGTTTAGGCGGGTTTCAAGTGGTAAGGGCTGGAAAGAATAGTGCTAATGAAGTTTACATTATTTTGTTGCTGATCCAATAGCCAGTTTGCAAACTGCATTCTACAAGGAAAATCTTCAGAAATAAGTTTATGCACTTTTTGCATATGATAAGGATATAACAGCTGTTCTTAAAGAACATCATGCACTATTGTTTTCGACGTATTAAACTGTGCTGATAATTTTCGAGTGCTCGTTGAAGGAGTGTCATCTACAGCATTTAAAATATTTTTCAAACTTACCTAAAATTATGAAGAAAGTCAATAATATTACTTTAATAACTGAAATTGTCCACCATTATCTCTAAGACGTTGGTCAATTCGTTAAAATGTCTTCTGATTTCGAATAATAAGAAGATAATGGTGAACAATTTCATTTATTAAAGTAATATTATTGACTTCCTTCATAATTTTAGGTACCTACGTTTGTAAAAAAAGTTTTCTTTTCACGGATGAAGCAGGATTTACCAAAAATGGTAACACACATGTATGGGCTGATGAAAATCCTCATGCCACTATTGTTTCGCATTTTCAACATCAGTTCCAACCAATTAATACGTGGGCAGGAATCATTGGCAATATTTTGATTGGACCATTCGTATTGCTGGCACGATTGAATGGACAACTTTTTTGGAGTTTCTCCAAAACGCTTTTCGGGATTTAATAGAGCCCTTACCACTTGAAACCCGCCTAAACATGTACTTCTTGCACGATGGGGCACCACCTCATTTCAGCGTTGCTGTGCGGGAGCACTTGAATAACGTTTATCAAAACCGTTGGATAGGTAGAGGAAGACCTATTGACTGGCCTCCTCGATTTCCCGACCTTAGGCTGATGGATTTTTTCCTGTGGGGATACCTAAAAAAACTTGGTGTATTCCACTCCGATAGATACTAGGGAGGAACTTCTACAGATAATTACGTTTTATTGTGATATGATAAGAAACAATACTGGGTTATTCTGGCGGGTACAGAAGTCCTCAATTCGTCGTGCCCGACAATGTATCAGAGTTCACGGAACCCATGTTGAACCCTCTTATAAAGTTTTTAATTAATTGTTTCGAATTACTGTCCTTCAATTTAAGGTTTGCAACAATACGTTACATTATTTTTTTATGGTCCTTTTTATTAAAAAATAAAACATGAATTTGTTTATTATTCTTTTTCTCGACAACGGTTCATTTTATTGACAATAAACAAGAGTACCTTTATTTTAGTTTAAGGTTCAAGCTATGCAGATTTAGTTTTTTTAAGTCTTTGTCATACGGGGTGTTCAAAATTTAAGCATTAAAAAGTAAAACTTAGTCCGCCCCTGGTAAACAAAAAAGCAAAACATGTTTCAATGACACTATTTTAAGAGGTCCTTACCAGGGTCCATCATATTAAATTTTTATTAAATTATATTTAGTACTTTAAAAGTTATTCAAGGAAAACCAATTTGCAGGGGAGTCCTTTCGGGGCCCATGGCTCCGTAAGGATGGCCAGTAGGAAAAAAATTTATAGGAACGTGTCATCTTATTTTTTCATGTTCTATCTGAATCCGAGAGATTTCCCACATTTTCCCGGACACCCTGTATAGTTGTTGAATCAAATTACATAAATTTCAATAAAACCTATTTTTTCTTTGTTTTTGGTTATTGAATTGCTTATATCTCTTAAACAAAGCACTTTAGTGATATGAACGTAAGAACCTTTTTTGTCAAAAATTAAATTTCCTACAACTTTTTTGTTTGAACTTTTTCGGTAAAACCAGTCATTCGCTCGATTTTCTCAAAAATATGTAAGAAAAAGTGAAAAAACGACTTTTGGAGCTACTATTGCAGGAAATTATGGTGATAAAAATTATAATTCAAAACCCAGCCAAAATATAGAAATTTAAAGTAAAAATGATTAAAAAATACATGCTTTTTATATGGAAAAAATACAAAATTAAAAAGGAAGTACTTAGAATAAAAGTAAAGGGCTCAAATTTTCAGGGAATTTTTTTTTCAACCTAAAAAACAAAATTTTCATGTGTCAGCAAGAAAAAAAAAATTTCGTTTTAAATGAAAAACTAAGTTTTAATACTTAACTATTGATTATATTTACAATCTTGGATTATAATATATTAATTATTTTTATAACATGATTAAGTGATATGTGGTGGGTGTAGTCTTTTTTTTAATTATTTTTGTATCCTTATTTTATATTCTCCCTGTATTTTATTCTTTAGTCATTGTATTGTGCAAGTTTTATCATGATAAACGTTTTTAAAGTATATAATTATTTTTTTATTATTTCATTTAAAAATTGTTTTAAAACAAAATTTAAGGTACCTTACTATATACTTATGTAGTATCTCCATTTGAAGAGTTTCCATAGAATGTCTCAAAACTTGATACATAATTTTGTGAGGCATCAGGACTCATTCACTAATAATTTCAGATTTTTTTACAGCACAGATTTTAAGAAATTAATTTTAAAAGTTACATTGTTTTTCATACCCCTGTTGTAAATGACCGATTATAGAAACCAATTGAAGTATTGGTTGGCATCAATAGGTCTGAATTGGACTTACTGGGTTTAATTGGGAGCGATATAAAACAGAAATTGGTTTTTACTGGTATTAGTGGTTTTGATTGGTTAAAGATACCAATAGGTAATTTCCAATTGAATTCAATTGTGCATTCCCAGTGTGAGATTCTAGAAAGGAATCTGCTAATTGGTTATTCCCAATACTTTAAAATATGGAAAAGTCCGATAAGGATTCTACTATTTTTTAGTGGTTTCGATTGGTTAAAGCTAACCAAAGGTAATTTGGCATTCCCAGTGTAAGATTCAAAAAATCTGCTAATTGGTTATTCCCAATACAATACAAATATCGCAAAGGGGCTCTCGTGTAGCTGCGCAAAACCAACGAGGTTGAGACGCCAACATAAAGAAAAAACAACACAAACAAGTCTTTGGACGCCATTTATTAGCGGTTTTTTTATTAGTCGATTTCTGTGTTAAGTGCCTAGTGATAGTAGTGAACTTATATCTTAAAAAAATGTTTATAATATAACATATTATGTGTAAGGTTTAGGGACGATGGCGTAAGAATGGTTGTCACAGCGGACAAAATAAAAAAATTGACATAAACAATATCGACTTCGACCCTGCCTACAAACATCCTTTGCAAGAAAGACAAAACAATGATTATAACCGAGTAATTTTATTTATTTTTTATTACTTTTTTTGTGATAGTAAGTTATATGTATCAATACATACATATATCATAAAAAAAAATATTAAAGAAATAAAATTACTCAGTAACAATAAATTTTTTGTCTCTTCTGTGAAAAACGAATTCTGGTTTTTACCCGGTTATCCTTCTGGAATCTAAAATTATTTTTGAATGAAAAATAAACTATTACCAATTCATTCCATGTGCATTTCTATTGGATTTAGCCAATAGAGACAAGCATAGGCATGGATTGGTATTCTCCAATCCAAGCCGCTGACTTCATTGGAACTTACCAATAGGAATGAATTGGTGATTCATAGCGCCAAAACACATTTCAAACCAGTTCAAACCAATTACTTTTTTTTTATTGGATTCTATTGGTCATTTACAGGGACGGCCTACTGTTATTTATTTATCCAACTCTTCAAATGAAGATACTTTTCTGTTCTGTGGATTATGAAACAAAAACTCGTCGACTCCGCGCATACGCTATGCACGGGTGTTTTACTACGATTTCTTTGGAGTTTTTTCCGAAATTATTGTGTAAAAACCACGCACGATGGTTTTGCAACGTTTTTCGTTTTAGATTTACTGCATTTATTGAACAGCAATAACTATTTACAAGGTACACGCCACGTGTGTTTTATACCAGGTTATTTATTAAGTTTGTGTTAAGTATATTTGTGCTGTAGCAGACAGCGGAAATATGAACCCAACATATGTTTAATATTAAATATTAACTATTTAATATTAAATATTTTTGATTTCCAAAAAATAAAGATCTGGCTGCACAGTGGCATGCAAGGGAAAGGATAAAATGAAAATAAAAAACGGTAAGTAAAGGCAATTTTTGTTATGCCCAATTACCTTTAGGTAACCCGGTCAACATTGTAACGTAACATTAACCAAAATGTTATGTAACGATTGTGATGTGTAACATTACAGTTACCTAACCTGACGGTTGCAAATAGGTTCCTATAGGAAATATATTTCCCGCTTTTTTTAGTAACATATGTTACTAAAAAAAGCGGGAAATATATTTCCTATAGGAACCTATTTATTATGCTCGACATGAGAAAGTCGCGTAAGTTTAACGCTAAAGCGTATCAAATGATAGGTACATAATATCGTATTCTGACTTTCCCATGATCAGGCAGAGTGTTTGAGGTCCAATGACAAATGGACATGGTGCGCTGTCTTAACTTCGTTTATATATATATACCTAGCTGAGGTGGTAACACGAGCGAGATGTAAATGATGTGTTTCTTACGTATCATACATGTAACTTTTACGTAACAAACCTATTACAATAAAATTGCAATGTTACGTTGGTGTTATATTGCTTATTGGTAATTTTGTTACATATGTAATATTACAATAGTTTCACAATGTTACGTTTTTGTTATATTGCTTATTGGTAATTTTGTTATATTACAATAGTTTCACAATGTTACGTTGCTGTTATATTGCTTATTGGTAATTTTGTTATATAACAATAGTTTTACAATGTTTCGTTGCTGTTATATTGCTTATTGGTAATTTTGTTACATTACAATGGTTTCACAAGGGGCCGAGGATGGCGCAGTGGGTTGAGCTACAGAGCTGTGAGCAATCTGCGTCTAACGGTACCGGGTTCGATTCCCGCTCACAGCCTTGGGTGTTGTAGTTGTTTATTAACCCTGCTTAAAATACCCCATAGAGACCCTGTTCAAACCGATAGATATTTGTATCGGGATGTATGGTGTTTCTATAGGGTGTATCGGTTTGTATAGGACCCATAGTTGAGATTTATGGTTGTTCTATAGGGATATCCTCCCTTGATTTATTTGCTATAGGTTTCAATGGGGAAAATACACATAAATGTAGAAATTAGTTTTTCCCCTATAGGACCCCATAGGTTTTAATAAAATTTTGTCAAATGTTTTATGGTTGCTCTATAGGGATATCCCTATATATCCTTCATTGAGTTATTTGCTATCGGTCTCTATAGGGAAAATGTAAAATTTATGGTGTGCCTATAGGTAATTTCCTATACATTTTCTATCGGGCCGTATCCGGAAAAAACCATGGACAAATGCACATATTGAATCCCGTAGCGCCCGATAGATTATTTTGTATAGGTCTCTATGGGGTATTTTAAGCAGGGAAACAAAAAAAATAAATATCATAAGCTGGCTAAATATTCTTGAAAAGACTAAAAGTCAATAATATCTAAAAAAAAATAGTTTCACAATGTTACGTTGCCGTTATATTAATAAAAAAATTACAAATAAGAAATTTATTATTGGTAATTTTGTTAATTACAATAGTTTCACAATATTAATTACAATATACAGGGTGAGTTTTAAGTTGACGCGTTCCTTTTAACAGTGTGTAGAAAAGCTAGACAAATAAATATTTTAAGTAACTTTTTTATCAAAACTCAAAAATAAAAAAGTTATAGCCCATCAAAGTTTAATTAAATTTTAAGCCAGTCCTGGCTATTGTTAACGAAAAACATAACCATAAAAATATCAAAATAAACAATGCAAAATGTCATATTTGACAACAAACATACCCATTTAAATCAAATTGACATTTTGCAATAAAAAATGTCATTATTTACTTAAGTTGCAGCATTTGCATTTTGACGACACTCTCCATAAATTAGTAACATTTCCACTAATTCATTATTGCTATAATTATGAACCATTTTTAACAATAATTGAGGCACAAAAAAACTGACATTTTTCATTGCTAAATGTCATTTTGATTTAAATGGTTATGTTGTCATAGATGACATTTTGCATTGTTTATTTTGTTATTTTTATTTTTATGGTTATGTTTTTTGTTAACAATAGCCAGGACCGGCTCAAAATTTAATTAAACTTGGAAGGCCTATAACTCTCTTATTTTTGAGTTTTGATAGAAAAGTTACTTAAAATATTTATTTGTTTATCTGATTTCTACACGCTGTTAAAAGGAACGCGTCAACTTAAAACTCACCCTGTATAACTATAGTTTCACAATGTTACGTTGCTGTTATATTGCTTATTGGTAATTTTTGTTACATTACAATAGTATCGCAATGTTACGTTATTGTTATATTGCCTATTGGTTAACTTGGAACGGTAACAATGTTACCATTATTTTAGGTAACTGTTGCATTGCATTTTAGTAACATCATTACATTGCAATGTGACTCCTATGTTACATAACGGCAATACTGTGTTACGTTAAATGTTGACCGGGAAGTACCTACCTATAGTATATTACTTATAGTAACTTTTCACCCTAACCATATATTTTTTTACAGCTTGCAAAAGTTCTTAAGAACTAATTAATTAATTAATAATTAATTAATTAATTACTAATAATAAAAATTAAAACACAATTGTATCGGAAAGGCGCTTCAAAAGTGTCACAAATAAAAAAATCACGTTTGACACCTTTAAGCTACATTCGTAATGAATTCGCTGGCCGAGTGACACTTTGGCACTCAAGTCGGCACGAAATTTACCATTCACAATAACTTTAGAGTCGAATTTACCGCATGGGCGTTGGTAACTGTCATGTTTTTTGTAAGGTTAGAATTTGCATTATTTTGTTTTTGCTTGGTGCTATTTTTTAAATGCAAAAATGGACAACAATCAATCAAATAGTTTACTTATGTTGTGTAATAGTTTATTTAGTGATAAATTCTTATTACAATGTGTTACAAAACACTTATGTTCTCTTTATAATAAATAATAATAATAAAAAACTAGTACCTATACATTAAGTTATATACATACATACATTTACATTAACAATGGGTAGTTTATTTAAATAAAGCAAGAAAAATGTATTTAATCACAATAAAAACACTACACACACAAAACTCAACGAAAATGTCAAACCTTCATAACAAAGGCAATGCGCATGTCGCATAGCCGGCACGAAAGTCGAAGTTGAAGTCGAAGTTTGCAGCTTGCAAGAAATTTTGCCCACTTCAACTTCCACTTTAACGTCGAATTTCATTGTGAACGATCACACTGTTACACATTTGCTTAGCTTGCGAGTCAAATTGCCACTCGGCCAGCGAATTCATTACGAATGTAGCTTTAAGCGGGCGTGCGTTATTATTACCTGTATAAATGCATTTTTATAATTTTGTTACCTTTCAACATTAAAAAATTGTAAAATGCGGTCTAGCGTAAGTTAACTTAATTCAATTAAATAAAAAATGTTTTGAAAAATAATTATAGGAAGGTAGAAAATATGTAGTATTGAATTAAAGCGCATGCTAATTATTAATAATTGCACCCAGGCCCTATATTTATTAATTTTCGAATATAACGTGAATTTGCAGTGCAAATAACATTCCAACCCAGTTACCCGTCAGCTTTTGGTTCGCGCATGACGTCACACGGTGCGAGAGAGATAGCGCAACAGCATACCGGTTTTTGTGTATAGTTACATTTTTTCTGTGGTTGAGCGTCAAAGATTTGACAGCTTACAAAAACGTAGATTGACTAGAATTGGTTGTGGATAAAAGTGGCCATGGACCCGGCAAGCTATAAAAGGGTGTGGGAGTACATTAGAAAAGGCCGCAAGGGAGGTGGCGCCTATTTCAAGGACGAAGTAAGAAAAGTTCATTACGTCCTTGTACTAAATATGACCTCGGCGTATACAAACTTTGCCGTTATCAGTGAGTACATAAGGAACCTGGAAGATAAGGGATTGGAATTTGAGCAGGATCTGGGAATTGTAATTGATTTTAATATTAGTGATGATCTCTTTGAATTTGCACTGAAAACAAATCTCAGTAAAAAACCGCACCAAATAGTTTAGAGGATGGAGCTTTACCTCAAGATGCGCAGTTTTTGACGTTCTTAATCTAAATTCGACCTCAAAATTGCTACATCAAATCAGGTTTTTTTTAAATTCATCTTATTTAATATTGAGGTTATATCTACTTTGGGTTGGAATTTCCCAGAAACCTCAAGCAATTTTGGAGACGGATTTGACTTTACAGCATCAAAAAACATTAAAACGATACATTTTTCAGACAGTTCCTGTGATGTTTGTGAAGATCCACATAGCGCATAAAACCTCCCAAGCGTATTTCAATATGTACCGAATGATTCCGGAGTTCCACGAAGATTTTGAGTATGGGATGCGATTCAAAAAGTGTCTTTTTTTCAGAAATCCAATTACAAGGAAAAACGTTTTCAAAGACATAGAGTAATTCGCAAAGAAAAAATCGGCGAAAAAAAATCATTATTTATATAAAAGATTCAAAACCTCAATTTTTTTAAAACTCGCCTGGCGTTCCAGGCCTATTATACTATAGTACCTAGTACCTAGTACATTTAAATAGGCTCATGACGTGATAAGTAAACACATCATTTGCCTCACCATCCAATCATACTGCTCTTCTATTCCTTCTATTCTAGCTTTTTTTTGGAAATAAAATTTTTAAATCAGGAACTTTTAAACTTAATAATACCCAAAACTATCATCCCCAAAGATACCCTAGAGGAAATTTTTCTCTGAAAAACTTTAATAAGTAAAAATAAGAGTTTTTAAAGTCTTACTTTCTCTTAAAAAGTCTGAATAATAAAAATAAAAATAAAAGTCAGAATGAGTCAGACTAATAGCAAGATTTGGGAGTCTTCTAGAAGAGTTAATAAGACTTTATAAGACTTTTAGCAGAGAAATGGTAGGAACCTAACTATAGCGATTAAAATAAATATCCGGAATTATTCAGAGAGGTTGTATTTAATTAATATAATACATAACACAAAGAAAAGTATTTATTAAAATTTTACCGGGGTGGTAATAAGCCAAGTTTATTGCATAATTACCTATATAATAACTCTCAGCTTCTCAGCTGACCAATTAGAGCACAGCTGATCTGTCATGTGATGGCATTTTCCCGCGTTTTCAAGGTAGCTCTCCTGTCACTACTTACCAAGTGTTCCCGTTTGCGGGTATTTTACTCGGAAATCGGGTATTTTCGTCATGTTTTGCGGGTAGAATTTTGAAGCGGGTAAAATCGGATATTCTGCAAATTTCGATCAAAATGCCAACTGAAGAAATTTTCAGTAAATAATTAACTATATTGTATGTTTACTGAAAATGCATAATTATTTTATTCTATATATGACATCCTGTCACATTTTTATTTAGTTATAAACAAATTTTAAATTAATTTAATTAATTTTTTTTAAACAGTGCGAATGCGCTAGTAAATTTAAAATATAACTAGTTTTTTTATTATTTTGAAATTTTTGGTCGGGAACTTTTATGACATTCATCCGGCAACACTGTATAAACACATGAAGCAATGAAAGATCAACCATATTTGAATACGTCAATGCAGAAACTGAATATGTCCTACCTATCTAGTTTTGAGATAAATAAGAAAAACTGAACAGAAAGTGGACATGTTCTGGACATATTCAGTTTCTCTACTATATTAACGCCTTTGATAATAATCTAGATTACCGTGACATTGACATGATATTTCTACGCCATTCGATCGGGCACCCTTTACTTATAGTAAATCCATGTTTAACTCAATATCCCTAAAAAGTGGACATATTCAGTTTCTGCATTGACCTATTCATTTGTTTTATAATCTGTGTATGAGTTCGACTGTCGACCATAACACGCCTATGCGTTGCGAAGAATTGTTAGTTATTATACCTTATGTACTTAATCAACAAGGGATCTGTATTAGGGTGATTCATTTCCGCAAAGTTTTTGTTTTTTTTTTTCGGTGCTCAAGCAAAATATTAATCTGCATATAGGAAAAAATATTCTCACCAAGTTTGACCTCTTAATATTAATTTTAAGCACTTTTAACACTATTTAAATTTAAAGTTTTACCGTTTAAAAGGCATGTTAAAAATATATTTTTTTTTTTCAAATTTCTAATGCTTACCCACCTTTGACAATATTGCAAATCGGTTTAATACACCTTATGGGGAATTTCACGCTCTTTAAAATTGCTTTTGAGTTTTTTTTTGTAACTCGCATTGGTTCACCAGTAGGAGTCGTCAAAGGACAGTTTTTGAAAAAAATCGTTTTTTTTTATTTTTTCGAGCAAATCGCCAAAAGTAGTGAGAAAAAAGGGCTGATTCATAAAAAAAAGTTAACCAACCAATATTTAATGAATTTACTGCCATTTTTATAACTGAAAACGTAAGAAATTGATAAATACCAACCCATAATGTTATTTAGATTGATTTTTTCTATTTATTATCATTATATTTCCCTACACTAAGAAGTTTTTTAAAATTATTATGATTTCTCACTCATAATGAATATGAAAACAACACATAAATTCATAAAAAAAACAACAAAACTTTAATCGGAATATACAGAAGGTTATGTAACATATTTCAAATTTCGCTTCAAAAAATTAAATAATCTTCATTTATATTTTTTTGCTATATGACAGAAATGTTGAAAAATTGCAAAATCCACGTTACAATTTTCTTATTGTTTTTTTTTTGAATTTATCTGTTGTTTTGATATTCATTATAAGTGAGAAATCAATAATTTTAAAAAACTTCTTAGTGTAGGGAAATATAATGATAATAAATAGAAAAAATCAATCTAAATAACATTATGAGTTGGTAATTATCAATTTCTTACGTTTTCAGTTATAAAAATGGCTGTAAATTCATTAAATATTGGTTGGATAACTTTTTTATGATTCAGCCCTTTTTTCTCCCTACTTTTTGCGGTTTGTTAGAAAAAATTTAAATAAAAAAACGATTTTTTTCAAAAACTGTCCTTTGACGACTCCTACTGGTGAACCAATGAGAGTTACAAAAAAAAACTCAAAAGCAATTTTCAAGAGCGCGAAATTCCCCACAAGGTCCATCAAACCGATTTGCAATATTGTCAAAGGTGGGTAAGCAGGGGCGTGCTGGCAGTCCAATGCAGGCCTGGACTGGATAGTAGAGCAGTCCAGACTCAAGCCAGTTTCATATACTTCTTATAGCTAGTAAAAAATGTTATACCTATAAAATAAAACCACATTCACCTACCTATGTAGTAAAAGTAATATTATAAAAAATACTTACAATATTAGATATTACCATGACACCTCGGCTGATAAAACGTCCCGAGATAACTCTCTTCGCAACAAGGAACTTTTTTCAGGTATTATAATATTATAATTATAACCGAACACTAAAGGCACATACCCGATTTGAAACGCGGTTATAGATTTGTTTTTTATATATTATACCCACAATCTTTACGAAAAAAAGTCAATCTCTTTAGAATGCGAACAAAAATCAACTGCTTTGCGCACCACGTGAGCAATATTTGATTTAGGTATTTGCCGCGTTAATTTAAATTCCCCGAAATAGGTAGTAGTTCTCATATGGTTTTGTTTTGGTTTATGGTAAGTTCTGTATAATAAATGCAGGCATGTAAGAATTAAAAATAGTCGTTTTAAGTTCTAAGGTAAACGCAAATGTTTTTAAATATAAGATTTAACAGTTTTAAAGCAAACGCATATGTTTTTAAACAATATTTGCATGTGTCAATGAAATTATGAATAAAATTTACTATAAATTGTAATAAAGCTAGATTGTCAAATTCAATGTTCTTTAATGTATAATTTCGTTGTTCGTAGTGTACATTAATAATTAATGATTAATTATGCCCAAGCTTTGTTAAAATTTGTCATTTTAAAAGGGAAGATAAGCAGTCCAGCAGGCCACCAAGTGGTGCAGGCCACCGGGCATTCGCCCGGTGGCCCGGCAGCCCAGCACGCCCCTGTGGGTAAGCATTAGAAATTTGAAAAAAAAATATATTTTTTACATGCATTTTAAACGGTAAAACTTTAAATTTAAATAGTAAGTACTTAAAATTTATATTAAGAGCTCAAACTTGTTGAGAATTTTTTTTTCTATATGCAGATTAATATTTTGCCTGAGCACCGAAGAAAACAAAAATTTGCGGAAATGAATCACAGATTCTGTATGTACACAAACCAAACGTATATCCCAACTGTTTCATTCTGTTCAATTAAAATAAAGTTTGTTTAGCTATATTGTAAACATTGCTTCCGTGTTTTTATAAGCCTTATAACAACACAAAAACAGTGTTTATAAATACTTTTCATTGTGCTTTCTTTTGCAATAACCAAATACAACATCTCTGAATAATTCCGGATATTTATTTTAATCGCTATAGGTACCTACCATTTCTCTGCTAAAAGTCTTATTAACTCTTCCAGAAGACTCCCAAATCTTACTATTAGTCTGACTTACTAAGACTTATTCAGACTTTTTCCGACTTAATAAGTCTTATTCAGAGAAAGTAGGACAAAACTTCTATTAAAACTTTCTTAAAAAAAAATTTCCACAAGGGTATGCATGTGCATATTGATGAATTCAGAATTTCATAATATATCCGAATCTGCAAAAAACAATTAAAAAAAACGACCAATGACATCATAGGTTTCGGCACCTATTGTTGCGAGGTGTTTCCTCGACAAACCAGTGAAACAAATTAAAAAAAAAATATTTAGAAACTTTGCGAGTAAAAAAAATTGGTCAGTTCCAAAAGTATTTGCAACGCGAAATTTAAATAAAAGCATATTTTTTTATAAATTATGATTTTTATTCCAAACCAAACCAAACAAAATACATAAAGTATCTAATATTTCAGAGCCAGCGAACTGTCGTACATAAAAATAAAAATAATCGAGTTGCTGCTAAAACAAACACAATTCGGCGTAGGTGAGGACAAAAAGGGAATACAGAAGTTGGTGTCACTTGGAGTGGTGCAAGATTACTATGCTCTTCACACAGGAACCATTCAGTACGAGTATTGGCACAATGATGATCTACTGAATGATAGAACCGTACGAAACCTTATTATCTTACCACCACTATTATATTATGAATAGAGGGATCTGTCAAATAGGGTCACACCACACCATAGACATGCCCATTAACAATTATTTGTATGGGCATGTCTATGGCCCCTATGTCTCGGGTTCTGTTTGTTTAAAACTGAAACCAAAGGTTTTTGACGAGAAAAAAAAATGATTGAGTTGGATTTGAGATTAGCGCATCAAAAACTTTCGAAGTAGTAGCACAGCAAACGCAAAAATATAGAACTGTATAGGATGACTCCGCGTTTGAATATTAAATCTTAAAGTTTTATCAGAACTGTATTGAATCGTGCTTTGTTTTTATATTTTTCGGCTCTATACCTATGCACGACTATATTTAAATTCAAACTCAATGGTGTCTTACAAGATACATTGTTTTGATTTTCTATATTCAACAGAGAGGTAGAAACTCGACCCTGTCGAATGGTGCAGTCATTTATGTCTCTAGAAATTATTAAAAAAGGGTTCAGTCCAATGGTGCAGCAACTTCGGATTCCTATTCTCTTCAGAGACATAGAAACTCAAGCTTTTCGAATTTTACTGGCAATGATTTTCGTTAATGTCCCCGAGAATTATACAAAAACAGCGCAATGCAATATCGCAACGGTTTCGACTTCTCTTTACTCTACCAAGTTATATATAGAATCTATAGAAACTGGAGTCTCTCTAATACTGTTCTAGTCAATATTTCTGAGAGTATAAAAAGAGGGTGTAATATTGCAAGAAGTTTTGATCTTTTGATGGATGCAAGTAGTTTGAATTTTCTCATTTCTGCATATGATTTTGTTGAAAATAGTTCCTTTCTTTAGTTCCTTTGTCTGATTTTTATTTACCGTAACAACTCAGGTATGTAAAGCACAGAGGATATGATGTTAAGTATATTTATGTATTATATAAAGTACCTATATTTGTATTAAAAATTTCAGAGGTTATAACCTCTGAAATTTTTAATACAAATATAGGTACTTTATATAATACCTACATAAATATACTTTACATCATATATGTTGAAAAAATGATCGATATGCTATTAAACTTTAATAATTTAGTAATGAGGTCTGTTGGTAGATCCTGCACATCTCCACTGGAAGTTTTATGTTAGTTCAGCAATATTTAAATCTGGTTCATCAAAAAGTATACACCAGTGCAGGTTATTGTAGCATCTACGAACAAATGAATTAATGGCCCATTGGCAATTATTCCTTTAGGAAAAATTTTCAACACAGTTTAATGAATTAATAAAATGAAAAAAATCATATCGTATATATTTTTTTTTTGAAGAATAAAATAGTTTTCATTTTAATACTAGTTCAAAAGTGAAATTACGACCTCTATACTATGGAGAGTATTGAAACGCTCGACTGACGAATACAAATCTATACCGTGGGGAGATTTAGAAAACTATATTCAAACGTGGCGTCATCCTATACACTGTTCAAAATTTAAGCTAATTTTTACCTAAAATATTAGACTATATAGGACCATTGATTTTTTAAGGCAAACTGCCTGAAATGAATTCAGAGGAATATTCCCCTTTTAAATTAGTAAATCCTTTAACTGATATTTTTAAAGAAAATGATACAATTAATTAAGCAAAATTACTTAGGTTTCAAAGATGATACACCTTAGATCGTAAGGGATATTGCCTGAGAATAAAAGAATAAATTTCCTGTTTCTAAGGCAATTTGCTTAAATTTTTAGGTAGATTATATATATTTTTAGTGAAAATCCTCTTATTTTTCACGGTAAATTTATCTAATTTTTTTAGATATACCCTTTTTTCGGGTAATTTTCTACCAATTTTTTAGTGAAATTCTACTAACTTTCTAGTAAAATGTAACTTATTTTCTAGTGAAATTCTACTATTTCATTAAATAAAAATATAAGGGGAACAAGAATTGGCGGTGGGGGCATTTAGGAGAGAAGATATTTATAATGTCATTTTTATTCTCACGCATATACTATTTTGGAAATATACTATTGTAAATGTTAAATATTATTGTAAAAAGTTACCGATAACCTAGTATTGTTTATCCCTATATCGAGCAATGTAAATGAGAAAAGAATGACATTATAAATCCCCCTTTTAAGTGCTGATGGGTAAAATAAAAAATACATTTATTTTAGTTAAATTAAAAATGTATATTAATAAATATGTATAAATAAAAAAAATAAAAGTAACAAAAACGACAATAAAACTTATAGGTATACCTACTTTATAAGTTTAATAAAGTTTCTTTTGGCATAGGAATTTTCTTCCAAGTTAGGACTCCTTTATCCTTATGTCCTAGGCGAATTAACAACGGCGGTTCCGGTACTATAGGGTTGGGATTATTTAAAAATAAATTGGGGTCAATGGAAAATTCCATTTAGTTTGGATTACTTAACTATAGCACTTCAAAATGTTCACTTATAGCACAATATTTGTTAACTGTTGTTATATCAATAGCACACAACGCGGTCTTTACGTTTTCGTTGATTTTGGCATTCTGGTGGACAATATAGGCACGAATATTTATCGTAAAACGTCGGTATTAGCGATCGTAGCCGATTGCAAGTAAGTCACTAATATTTAAAGGAATTTACCTAAATTAGTTCAATAATTTGCCATAATAATTTAGAAGAATTACCTAAATTAAAAGCAAAATTGTCGTACCTAAAAGTCATTGAGATTTTGACTAAATATTTAGGTAATCTGCCTATCTTTTTAAATTTGAGAAGTTTATTAAGTAAAGTATGAATATTTATCTAGAAGTTAGTGAATACACCATAGAACAAAGGCATTAGTTTCTGCCTAATAAACGAGAAGGTAAATTGCTTTACTCGTTTAAGCATATTACCTTATTTTTTCTTAACTAATTTTGATTAGGCTTGATTTTGAACAGTGTACACTTGATTTTGAACAGTGTACACTTCTATAATTTTCCGTTTGCTGTGCTATACAGTTCTATATTTTTCCGTTTGCTGTGTGATCCCCTTCGTGTTTTTATGTGGGTCTTATTTTATTTAATAAATGAAGCACCTAATTAAACAACATTGCAAAGCTTCTAGCAAAATACTGGGCCAGCTATCGCGTTTGGCACAAAGAGCAACCCTTGGATTTGATACACAAATACTTTGGAACAGAGGTGGCTTTCCATTTCGCTTGGACCGCCCATTACAACCTAATGATAATGCCGGCAGCTCTTATGGGAGTTTTTACGACCATTTACGGCATTATTAGATTGCAGCTAAGACACTCCAAACATTTGTAAGTTACTTATCTACCTATAAAATGGGTAAAATAATTGCATCTCGCCTCGGTGGCCTACGTGGGCGGTATATAAGCTCAGGTAGTCTTTTCCTTTGAATGTGTTCCACCACACCAAATTGCTCGAATTGATAAGAACCAATATACACTCACAGGCAAAATAATCGATCCACACAAATTTTCGATGAATTTCAATCGCAAATAACTTTTTTACTTGTTTTTGGATTCATCGCTCACATTTTAAAAATTACTAAAAAATAAACGTACGTTTATAATATACAGGTTTAAACAAAAAGATGTTTTTTACCATAAGTTTAAGACACTCTGTAGAGTGGCAAAACCGTATATTGTTCTAAATTAAGTTTTAATTATTAAGTCACATCTATTTTTAACAGTTTTGGTTCACCTTGATATATTTATTTTTGTGGAAAATATGGATTTTTTTAAAAAAACATTGCAATTTCCAATATTTTTCCTGTATGAAGAACTAAGGTTGCTATGGTCCATCCATAGCCTATGGAGGATGACAGTGACAGTTTTGTTGAATCATCCCATACTTAGACATGTCATATAGAGCTTTCAAAAGCTATCAAATTGTTTTTTTTAATTAAGGTGTTAATTTTGAGATGTCTTCTTACTTTTAAAAATGTCTCCGACTGATGTTGCCCTTTGTACTTTACTTCTTGTGACGTTTAAAACACTTGCCACGTAATACTGTGACCGTCCATCCTGGATTAAATTAATGGCTCTGGCAACATCATTCGGAGACATATCCATTTTTTAAAGTAAGAAGACACCTCAAAATTTTGAGGTGTCTTAAATTAATTTTAACATTTAAAATTTAAACATTAATTTGCAAAAAACAATTTGATAGCTTTTGAAAGCCGTGTATGACATGTCCAAGTATGGGATGATTCAACAAAAATGTCACTGTCATTCTCCATAGCCTATGGATGAACCATAGCAACCTTAGTTCTGTATACAGAAAAATATTGGAAATTGCAATGTTTTTTTATAAAATCCATATTTTTCACAAAAATAAATATATCGAGGTGAACCAAAAACAAAACTGTTAAGAATAGTTGTGACTTGATAAATAAAACTTAATTTAGAACAATATACGGTTTTGCCACTCTACAGAGTGTCTTAAACTTATGGTAAAAAACATATTTTTGTTTAAACCTGTATATTATAAACGTACGTCTATTTTTTAGTAATTTTTTAAAATGTGAGCGATTGTCCATTAATTTATCTACAATATTCTTTAATATTCGTTTAAATCCGACATCAAATAAAAAAGTTATTTGCGATTGAAATTCATCGAAAATTTGTGTGGATCGATTACACTAGTAAACAATAAAAAAAGGTCGGTAATAAAAATAGCTCAGTCCTATAGATTTTGACCTGCTCGACGCAAATCCGGCGCCCAAAAAATTTTCCGAAGTCTCGTTTAGACGATACGGGCAGCATCATGATACAAAGAAAAATTGTTAAATAATAACGATAAAAATTAGTAAATAAAAAAGGTTGGTAATAAAAATAACACACTCCTATAGATTTTGACCTGCTCGACGCAAATCCGGCGACCAAAAAATTTTCCAAAGTCTCGTTTAGACGATACGGGCAGCACCATGATACAAAGAAAAATTGTTAAATAATAAGGATAAAAATTAGTAAATAAAAAAGGTCGGTAATAAAAATAACACACTCCTATAGATTTTGACCTGCTCTACGCAAATCCGGCGACCAAAAAATTTTCCAA